CGTGGGGAGAGGGTGGAGGGAAGCAGGGGTCCCCCCTCCCTCACCACGCAGCCACCCCGCAACGGGAGAAGCAGGGAATCCCGGCTGCTTAGAGCCCACTCCCCCTGGCAGGGGCGTGCCCAGGAACCTCAGGAGAGAGAGAGGGGCCTGCGCGGGTGTGTGTGTGTGTGTAGGGGGTTTATTTTGCACAACGGTAAACTGAGGCCTAGATGAGGGACAGGGAACCCCCAGCCTGGCGCGTGGAGGGAGACACTCCCCGGGAAGGAACGGCCCCAAAGGCAAACAATAAAGCCCCCATTCCCGACCCAACCCCCTGACCTCGCGCTGGTCCTGGGGAGCTGGAAGGGCTGAGCAGGTGGTGTCCCCTTCAACCCCGGCTAGCCCCCAGCAGCCCTGGCCCGGGAAGGTCCGGGTGAGAAAGAGGTGCCATCCAGACGGGAGACCCCAGAAAACTTCTGGGTCTCATTCTTGAGGTGGCGAAGGAACCCCCTGCCCGTGCGCGCACATACACACACATGCATACTGCCACCTGCGCGATGGATAGATGCATACATGGGTAGATGGAAGGGGGACCCCGTGCGCCTGCCGGAAGCCTGGGCGGTCAGCCGAGTCGTGAAGGTCACTCGGCCGGACCGGACTAGAACAATGCGGCTGCTTCTCCCTGACCCACCCCTGGGTGCCGGTCACTAGCGGATGCGCGGGGCAAACACGGGCGCACACCGGGGAGAAGCAGCCCCGTTGGTGACCTTGGTCCATGCGCAAGCCCCCCCACCCAACCTCCACCTCCCCGCCCGAGCCTGTGTCTTCCCTCCAGCGAGGGGGTTCGCGCCGCTGCTGCTGCAAGGGTCTTCCCTCTCGACGCGCCCCGGGTTGCCAGCTCCGTCCCCTCCCTCCCCCGCTTCTGAGCCCCCACCCACCTTCTGCAGTAGTCGGGGGCCGGGAGGTTTCCTCTCGGAAGCAGGGCTGCAAGGAGCCTTCATAGTTTTTTTGGGTTTTGGGTCCCCCGCCCTTCTTTCATATATTCTAAAAATAGCCTCCCTCTCCCCCTCCCCGAGTCCCTCCCCCTCCCCACCCCACCCCCCACCCCCAGCCCGGAGCCCCGCACGCGCGCTCCAGGTAAATGTAAATGCGCTCCCCGCTAGGGACACGGAATTCCGCGGCGCGCGGGCGGGGCTGGAGGACGCGGGAGGTGGCGAGCAGGGTGAGGGGGGAAGCCGGGAGGAAGCGCAGCCCCCGCCCATCGAGAGAGAGAGAGAGAGAGAGAGAGAGAGAGAGAGAGAGAGAGAGCTGCCAGCGAACCGTGACCGTGCGTGCAGGCAGAAGGGGAACAAAGGGACGGGGGGCTGGGGCGACGTGGAGGGTGAGGGGAGCTGCGTGCGGGGCGCTAGGCTGCGGTTCCAGCGTGGTCACTGCGCGGGCAGGAGGCGCCCAGCAGCACGGGGGAATCCCCTCCCCGCCCCCATCCCGCAATTCCTCTCGGGGCCCGGCTGTCTCGCCTCCCCTCACCGCACACAGTGCCATGTCTCCGACGCCTCCAGGGCTGGCCTGCCATCCTCCACCGAGGGACAGGTGCCGTGTGTGTGTCCCCCGGCCTCTGCTCTCCCTGCATTTGCTGACGCCAGGACCTGCCTCCTCGCGGCTCCCCCAAACTCCCTTGGCCCGGGACACCCACCAACAGCTCAGCGTCCTGGCCACACCCAGCCTGCCAGCCTTTCCACTCACTGTTCCCACCCTCAGCTTTCATGCTGGCTTCTGGGGGCCACGGTCACTTCCTACCTTGCTCCCCTCTTTCCTGATACCTGGGCGCACCTGTCCTGGCTGTGTAACGGACTCAATGCATTCACCCTCCTCCTGGCCCTGCACCCCAAGTCGGTGCCTGGCTGATGCGAGGAGGGGCCGGCCTCGCACTCAAGGGGGCTACCCTGCTGCAAATACCTGGGTCCGGCTGAGCTCGCTGCCCCCACACTTTGCTGGTCCTGCTGGCAGCCACGAAGGTGACCCCAGGATAGGAAGACTGGCTCCACCGGGGGAGGGAATTCTTAGCACACTGTGAGTGTGGGAACCCCAGGGACCCCGTTCTGGCCTGGGTCGCAGGGGCACAGGTTCCCTTGTTATAAAGACTAGAGGAGGTGAACAGGAGACAGAAAAGCGCCTGGGGAGCCCTCGAGGGTTCCCCTTTCATAGTTTTCAGTAACGTTTCGTATCTTTTTATTATCTTATACTTCTTTTTTTTTTTTTTTTCCAACCAAAGAGGACCAGAAGGGAGAAATGAGTTGAGAGAAAAGTCACCTTGGGGTGCCAAGTCACGGGGTAAATCCCCACGGCCTCCCCCAGGGCACAGCACCATTGCCACTCCACGCTGTTCCTGGGCACCCACCGGGTGCGCGCCTGAGAACGAGGAACCCCGAGGTTCCCACCGCAGCGGGCCTGGGATCGGGCAAGCAGTGGGTGGCTCAGCAGGGGCCAGTCCCAAGGGTCAAGGAGGGACCCCGCAGGGTGCAGACATGGAGGGGCCCCTCGACATGGGGGCCTTTGCAGTTCGTCCCCACCACCACCACCACATACACACCCCGGGGCCTGGACTGGCCGGGGTCAAGGCTGGGGTTTTCAAGGCCGCATGGATGGGGTGGAGGCGCCCAGCGTGGGTGGCTGTGGGAGTGGGCTGGGGTGGGAGCGCCCAGCATGCAGGACTGTGGGAGCTCAGGGGCAGTAGGGTGGGAGCGTCCAGGGTGTAGGGCTGTGGGAGTGGGCTGGGGTGGGGGCGCCCAGCGTGCAGAGCTGTGGGAGTGGGCTGGGGTGGGGGCGCCCAGCGTGCAGGGCTGTGGGAGTGGGCTGGGGTGGGGGCGCCCAGCGTGCAGGGGTGTGGGAACTCAGGGGAGTGGGGTGGGGACGCCCAGCATGCAGGAGACAAAGGCTTCTTATTATTAATAGTAAGGAGCCGGTTGAAGGGTTTCTGCACCTGCAGCCAGGGTGAGGGAGTGTGCAGGACCTCAGGACTGGGAGACGCAAATGGGGGCGTCCTTTAAACACGCATTCTTGCCATCTTTTTATTATTTCAAACATTTTTTCCCTTTTTCCCAAATTTGGAAATGTGGCGCGGCGACTCGCCGGCTGCCGTGGGGGTGGGGAGTGGGGCTGGCACACTGGCGGTCCCCCTCTCCCTGGGTGCCCACGTGTCCCCCGCGTGGCTCTCTGTCCCTCTCGCCTTGTCCCCTCCCATCCTCGGACCCTCCGCAGGTGCCCACCTCGCACTCCTGCGGCCCCCACGCCTCAGCTCCTCCCCAGGACCAGGAGCGCACCCCTCGGCCGCCTCTCCCGCAAGCCCCCTCATCCCGGGTCCTCTCCCCATCGCTCCCCCAGGGAGAACCACGAGGAAAGCCCGGGTGCCCCCACGCAAGCGCACCACCGCCCAGCTTCCCCGAGGCCGCCGCCCTGCGCGCCCGGTTGCCAAGGCAACGGCGAGGGTGCGGGAACCCGGGGAAGACCCCGCACTCCGGTTTGAGCCGGTTTCCCTGCTCTCCCTCCCCCCAGTGCGCACTGCGGCGGCTTGCAGGATTCCCCGGGTTCCCCCCACCCCGACACCCCGCCCAGGGCGCGGGCGAGAGGAGCGAGCAGCGCATGCGCCCCGGGCGCGGCTTCCCCCCGCGCATCAGGAAAACCCCGGTGCGTGAGGCTGGTCCCCCGCACCCGCCCTCCCAGCGCAGGCGCAGTGCGCGCGTCGGGTCCCCCCACCCCATGCCCGGTCGTCCTGGCAACGCGCGCGGGGATTCCCTGCTGCAGCTGCGCAGGCGCGGAGCCGGGATCTCTGCGGGGTGGAGGTGGGTGCGGGGCCGGAGCGAGCAGCTGCAGCTGCCGAGTGGGGCCGGAGAGGTGTCCGTGTGTCCACGGGCGGGCATCCTCCGGGGAAACGCGTCCTGCCCCGCTCACGCACGCTGCTGATGGCCACCCTCCACGGACACACGTCCTGCCCCGCTCACGTATGCTGCCTCATGGCCACACTCCACGGACACGCGTCCTGCCCTGCTCACGTACGCTGCCTCATGGCCACCCTCCACGGACACGCGTCCTGCCCCGCTCACGTACGCTGCCTCATGGCCACCCTCCACGGACACGCGTCCTGCCCCGCTCACGCACGCTGTCGGCTGCGGTGGGCCCTGATGTCTCCCAGGGGCTGTGCGCAGGATGGGGCTGCTCATTGGTGACCGGTGTGCGCCCAGGGCGAGGTGCCCAGCCCCGGGTACCCAGTCCCAGCGCGCTGTGCGGGGGTCCTCTGACAGCGCCCAGGCACCGTACCCTCTGCACTGTGCCAAGTGCGCCACAAAGGGTGATCGGTATGGGTGCCTGATGACTCTAGAGGGCCAAGGCACCCTCTCCCATTCTGTTCTGTTCCCAGTATTAATGCCACCCCTGGCCGGGGGTAGAGCACCCCACCCCCACTTCCGGGCCTGGCCTCGGGATGTCCGAAGCCCCCACAAGGACCATGTCTGGGAGAGGCTGACAGGCTGTGTGGACAGGCCACCCGGTGAGTCCTTGAGCTCTGCCCCCTCCCGTGCCTCAGCTTCTCTCCCACAGGGTTGTCACAGGCCTCCCCTACACACGCCCCTCCCCTGGCCTTCCCTGGTCCAGCTGAGCGCCCTCCGCCCCTCACCACCAGGTCTCTAGGCTCAGGAGCCTGGCCTACACTGCCCACAGATGCTGCTCTTCCAGGGCCCAGCCCACCCGGCCGCCTCTGCCCTCCCTCCCAGACTGTACCAGCTGCTTCCGGCCGCACCCCGGGTCACCTGCTGGGCTCAGCTCCAGGCCCCCCGGCGGCTGAGTGCCCCTCCTCTCTGCCCACTGCCGGGCATCTTGGGCCAGCACTCCTGGGGCCCAGAACCCCCGGGGCGGCTGTGTCCCCTCCTCACACCAGCGAGGCACCCAAGGGTGACAGCGGCCTGCGCGGGGTCCCTGTCCCCACCCGCCCAGACAGGCCCCGCTGCACAAGGGGGTCTTTCCCCAGCCCTGCCGGCCAAGCCTTTATTGGGAGTGTCACTCCGAGCAGGGGCCCTCAGGCGATGGGAGGGGTGGCTGGTGATGGCGTGCAGCCCGGGGGCCCCCAGCCCTGTCCTCCCCGAGGCCGGATCCCGGGGGACCTCTGCAGATCCTGGGAGTCAAGGCGGCCCACGGCCCATGGGGTGCGGGCTGGCTCACTTGGGGGCGTTGTAGGGCGCCGCCCGCTGGTTCATGGGGTTGTCCGGGGAGCGCAGCCACTCCTTCTTGAGCAGCTGCTTCAGCTGGGACAGCCGCATGTTGGGGTTCTCCTGTTTCAGCCGCGGCAGCTGCGCCTCCTCGAAGGCCGCAAAGGCCGCGCGCATGCGGCGCTCGGGGTGCCGGTCGGCCTCCTCGGCCACACTGTGCGCAGGCAGGGGGACGTCAGGCGGCAGGGGGGCGTCAGGCGGCTGGCGGCCCGGACCCCGCCCCTCACCCCTCCTACAGTCCCACCCCGCCCCTACCTGAGGACAGCGATGGCGTCCTCGATGGTGCGCGCCTCCACGCTGCCCTCCTCCTGCACGCGCCGGTTCACGTTTTCCTCCAGCGGCACCTCCAGGTGGCTCTTGGCTTTCTCGGCTGGGGAGGGCGTCGGGAAGGGCGCCAGGAGGAGGAGGAAGAGGACAGGCCGTCAGCCTTCTCCCCACCCTCCAGGGGCCCACGCCAGACCCCTGCACCTGCCCGCTGGGACAGCCGCGCCCAGGGGACGCTCTCCAGCTGCCGCAGCCCCGCCCACCGCTGCAGGCTGCTGTCCATCCCGCGCCGCACACCTGGCTCCGGGGCCTCGCGGTGCTGCTGCTCGCGGCGTAGGGTGTCCTCGATCTGGGCGCGGGTGACCTTGGTGGGCGCCGCCGCTCGCGGGGCCTTGCCCCCCTTGAGCTTGGAGTCCTCTTCCTCCAGCAGCCGCTGCGTCTCCTTCTTACGCTCCAGCTGCTCCAGGCGCCGCTTCTCCTTCTCCTCCTGCGGGGGAGGGGCTGGGGGTCAGGCGGACCACCCACTTGCTCCCCGCGGCCAGGGCCACCCCCCCTGCAGGTGCCTGGTGCCCTGAGCCTGTTGCCTGCTCCATCCCTGCCCTGCCTCCCAGCCTTGGCACCTGCCGTCCCTGCTGTGGGAGCCCTCCTCTCACAGCCAGCCCCAGCTCATCCTGGGCTCCCCGCTCCAGTCCTGGGGCGCACAGGGACAGCAGCTCGAGGCATCTGACCCAGAGGAATGGGATGAAGGAAGGGCAGGCAGGAAGCCCGTCCCAGGTACCCCTCCTCCTGCAGCGGCCCCATGGCCACAGCTGCCTGCAGTATGTTCTGGACATCCCCTCAAAGTTGCTGGGCTCAACCCTTGGCTTCCACAGTTTTAGGGGACAGGGGTGAGGTGTGGAACGCATTGCTGGGGCTCTTGGACACACAGTAGCCATGCCCTGGTTCACTCCCCAAGTGGCCACAACAGCCAGAGCTGAGCGGATCTGAAGCCAGGAGCCAGGAGCTTCTTCCGGGTCTCCCACATGGGTGCAGGGTCCCAAGGCTGTGGGCCGTCCTCCACTGCTTTCCCAGGCCACAGGCAGCAAGCTGGATGGGAAGTGGAGCAGTGGGACCGGCCCCGGGCACTGCATGTGTGCTGTGGGTGTCCCAGGGAAGCCCCTAGCTAGGCCTGTGTGCCCAGTGGCCAGAAGCAACGGAATGCAGGGGTACCCAGAGGGTTCCCAGCAGGCGGCCAGATGTACTGCATGGCCTGGGAGGGAGTGTAGACCTCACAGGCCAGGGATGTGGCTCGGCTGGTTAAGCTACCACCAGCATTCCACATCAGCATGCTGGTTCGAGCCCCGGCTTCCCCACTTCCGATCCAGTTCCCTGTTTACGCTCCTGGGAAGCAGCAAAGGATGGGCTAAGGGCGTGGGACCCAGCCACCTGCATGGGAGACCCGGATGGAGCCGCTGTTTCAGCTTTGGCCTGGCTCCTGCCCTGGGTGCTGCAGCCATTTAGGGGAAAGAATGCAGGAACACGAGATGTTGCTCTCTTCTCGCTTCCATCGTCCAAACAGAATGAAAATAATTTTCAAAAACAGCCTAGGCTGCGGCAGGACCTCGCGCGGCACACACAGGGCGCCCGCGGGCTACGCACAGGGACCCCGGCCCTTTGGCGCGCAGGCGCACGCTGCCGCCAAGCTGGCCTCTGGCGCCACCTGCTGAGCAGCGGCCAGGAGCGCGCCCCAAGCCCCCAGTGCCCCCCCATCGCACGGCCTTCTGGGGGCGCAAGCAGGGACCCCGGACCTAGCCTGCAGGTGCACACAGGCACGTGCGCCGAGCCCCCCAGAGCTCCCCAACCCCATGGCCTTCTGGGGGCGCACACAGGAACCCCTGCAGGCGCACACGGGCACACGCACCCCCATAGCCCCCCAGTGGCACGGCCTTCCGGGGGCGCACGCACCTTGCGCTGCTCCTTCCTCATGACGTGTTTGTCCTCGTCCTTCCAGTAGGCATCTTCCAGCTCCTTCTGCCTCCGGGCATCGGCCGCCGCCTTGGCCTCAGCCTTCCGTGCTCGGGCCGCTGCCGACTTGCTGTTCTCGCCCTGGAACTTTTTGGGCATCCCTCAGCTGGCTGCCTGCGGGGCCGAGGCCAGGGACCCGTGAGCGGGGCTGGCAGGGCAGGCCCTGGGCAAGCCCCCATACCCACCCATATACCCACGTACCAGCGACCCACACCGCACCTGCTGGGTCAAAATGAGAACTTCCAAGTCTACATGTAAAAAATTATTTGGAAGGCAGAGTGACACACACAAAAAAAGAGATTTCCACTGGCTGAGTCACTTCACAAAGGGCCACAGTGGCTGAAACCAGGAGCTTCTTTCGGATCTCCCACGCGGGTGCAGGGTCCCAAGGCTGTGGGCCGTCCTCCACTGCTTTCCCAGGCCACAGGCAGGGAGCTGGGTGGGAAATGGGGCAGCCAGGATTCGAACTGGAGCCCATGTGGATTGCCAATATTGTAGCACAGCACATTAACTCGCTATCAGCTGCTGGAAAATGCTGGGACCCTGCACTGCCGTGGGAGACCCGGATGGAGCTCCGGGCTTTGCCGTGGCCGTTGGGCAGCAAACCAGAGCATGGAATATCTCTTCCTCTCTACCTTTCAAGCACATAGAGCGAATATTTTCAGAGCCAGACTGAGCCCCTGGGAGGCCCCAGTCCTGTCTCCTTCCCTCACCCACAGGCCCTGCACACTGGGGAAGCAGTTGGCCGGGGTGGACACAGCCGAGAGGCGTCCCAGCAATCAGAGGTGCCACTCCAGCCCTGGGTCCCCAAACCCTGCAAGAGGAGGGCTGGGCTGTCAGCATTCCCCTGTCCCTGGCCAGGTCCCCCAGGCAGAGCCTGGAGCCTGACCTGCCCAGCCCCCAGGGTCAGGGGCAGTGGGGGGCAGCAGAGCTCACCCAGCAGCCGGGCAATGTCTGGGGGTGCACAGCCCGGCACTGACTGAGGGGTGCACAGCCCAGCACTGACTGGGGGGTGCACAGGTGGGTTCAGGTCTCCTCATCTTAGACCTGGGTTCGCTTCCAGGCCCCCGGACATCACACCCTGCTCCCAAGTCATCCTCCCAACTTTCATTCATTGCCACCTGCCCGGGAGGCGGCGCCGGGATCTGAGGGGTGCAGGGAGCCTTCCGTGAACCCCCGTTTGGACTTCAGGGGGTCACCGCGTGCAGTGCACCGCCTCTGCACCCCAGGGTCACCCTACACCCTTCTTCGTGGACGGGGGAAGGGGACAATGGTCCTTGAGGGCAGGGCTGGACCTGCGTCCGTCGGCCTCCCCCAGGCCTCCCGAGGGAGCTGACCCGTGCACCCCCTGACCTGGAACCGGGGGTGCGTGGGGTGCCATACCCGCCATTTCTCCAGGCCTCTAGGGGGTGGGGATCCCGAAAGGGGTGCGGGGCCTCCATGGGCGGGCCTGGGGTGCTCCAGACTCCTGCCCCGGGGCGGCCCCCCAGCACCCCGCGCTCCGCCCGCCCCGCGGCCGCTCCCCTACCTCCTGCCCCCAGCGCCGGCCGGTCGCGCCTCCGTGACGTGTCGCTCTGGGCCTGCGCCTTGAGCGCTCCGCGGCGCATGCTTCTGACGCCTGCGCTGGCGCCATGTTGGTAAAGGGCTGAGCTGTGGGCGGGCGCCCGGGCCACCCCGAAGCCCTCGGCAGCGGCGCCCTGTTGCCTCCTGCTTTCTTTAGAGTTTCCTGCCCGGGTTGAGCTCACGGCGGGAGGAACGGAACAGGCGGGAGGAAGACGCCACAGGCGAGAAGAGCGCCTTTACCAAGATGGTCACTTCTGCGGCCGCGTTAAAGATGGCGCCCGCGACTTCACGCGCAGCGTCCAAGCACCGGCTGCCAGGAGTTGCCCGGCCGCCAGGGTGCGCCGTGAGCCGGGGCGGAGCGGACGTCTCCTGCTGTCCACCGAGGTAGCAGGAGTCGGCTCTGTCCCCTTCCGAGTCCTGCCAAGGGGCCAGCACTCCTCCCGGGCTCCTCCCACTCGGCAGGTCACTCAGTGGCTTGTGATGGAGCAGCTGGGGTTGGCTTGCAGGGGGCAGATCTCAGGTTTTCCTATGCACTCGGCCCCCACCTGTCCTGGATCTGTAAGCCTGGGTGGGTGTAGAAGCAGCTGCATCTGGTCGGACCAGGTGGGACTGACCACTCATAGATGTCCCCCCTCGGCCACACTGCTGGAACCCACGCCCCGTCTGCACCTCCCCTGCCCTCGGGTCCCCCAGGGCTCCCTACTGCCCTCCCGTATTCTGCCTGGTTCCACCCACAGCAGCGCCCTGCCTGCAGGGCTGGGTGCCACGCGACCCCCTTCCCCGGTGACCCCTGCCCTCGGACGGGGATGCCTCCAGCTCCCGGCCTCTCCTCCCCGGGGATCCATCCAGTCGGGAGGTGCATTGTCCTGTTGTGTTTTACTTTTTGGACGCACCTGGCATGGCTGCCCTGCCCCGAAAACCAGCAGCCCCAGCCCGTTATTGATCTGGGCTTTGGCCCATGGGAGGTGGCAGGCCAAGGTGGGGAGAGGGGAGAAGCGCCAAAAGCGACATCTTGTGAAGTTTGCATGACTGATGAGCCGGGCCTGTTCCACCTGGGGCCAAGTATGAGCTGGGCTGCATCCCACAGCCCAGGTCTTCACCAGTGACCCAGGATTAGGAGGTGACCCAGCAGAGTAGCCTGGCAGAGCTAGGAGGGTTTAAAGGGTGTCCACGTCAGATCTAGGGGCTACAGAGAGCGAGAGAGCTTCAGACAGCAGCCACATGCAGCCCACACCTCGACGGCCACTTCTGAGGCCGCTGGGCTGGGTTGAGGTGTCCCCTCTTCCTGTTCTCCTGGGCGAATGGGGTTTGCTGCCTGTGAAATAGGTCAATTCTTCCCCAGATTCTACTGGCAGGAGTTGCAGGGGCTGGAGGTGGGAAGTGCCACTGATGGGGTTATCCAGGGTGTGGGCGGGTTCTTCCAGGTGTCTGGCCTTCTGTTGTCGTCCCCCCCCCCCATCCCTGCAAGGAAGCTGGCCGCTCTCCTAAGGGGTACTCTGGGCAAGGGTCTGGCCCTGCACCTTGATCCAGTTGGCACGACACGTGGAGAGCAGGCGGGTGGGCGCTGTCTGTCCCGTGGTGACACGAGGCAGCCTGGGGATCCCTCATGGTTGGGCACGGTCCAGACGACTTAGGGAGCTAGTCTGATGGCACCGGCTGCAGGGTCTGACAGCCTGGGGGCGGTTAGAGACCTGGCCCCAAATCCCAGGTCTGGACCAGCCTGGCGCCTGGGCGTGGAGGCGAGCAGGGGCTGCCTGGGGAACTCAACCCCAGGGCTTGGCAGCTGTGTGTGGCTGTGCCCCGGACTGTGCGTGTATGCGTCAAGGGGAAGATCTTCGAAGTTACTCCCAACCATCAGCACGCTCCCAGCACCGTGGTCCCAAGGCTCCTGTGGGCTTCCTCCATCCTGGCCTTGATTTTGGGGTCCCCTCCTGCTGTCTTAGGAAGTGGACTGGACGGCGCAGTAGCATATCAAACTAATCCTCCATCTGTGGCGCCAGCAACCCATAGGGGCACCGACTCAAGTCCCAACCAGCTCCCTGCTCATGTGCCTGGGGGAGCAGCAGAGGGCGACCCTCAGGGGTGCAGTGTTCTTGGGCCCCCGCATCCATGTGGGAGATCCCGTTTGGGTCCTTGGCTCCACCGTGTCCCCAACCTCTTCCTGCACTTCCAGTTCTGGCCGGTTCCCTGTCTGTGGGTGGCCAGGCTGGGTCGCTCCACACCCGGTCTTCTTGAGCGCCCCCACATGGCAGCCTCGCACCCCCAGCCCTGCTCCCCGTCCTGTGTGGGTTAGGGGGACCCTGGCCCAGGCGCCTCTGGTCCAGCGCTGGTGGCTGTACCTGCCGGCCGCTCACATGCCACAAAGCAAATGTTTAAGCAAGGATTGAGTTCAGCAAACAGGCCGTGCCTCAGGGGCCCCGGGAGGCTGAGGTGGGACCCTGCACCAAGCCCCTCTGGGATGCACAAAGGCCACTTGTCTGTGAACTTTGACCTCGTGGTCTGCAGGCTCCAGACGCTGTGGCTACACTGCGTGCGTTCTGATTTCGCCCCGGCACGGCCGACAGTCCCATGCCTTCTCGCCCACATCAAACATGGGGGCCCCGCCCGCCCCACCCTCCCTCACCCCCAGACTGCCGCAGCCCTGTCTTAAACACGGCCTGGGAAATGGAGGCGCCTCTTCCCACCCAGCTCCCTGTCTGTGGCCTGGGAAAGCAGTGGAGGACAGCCCACAGCCTTGGGACCCTGCACCTGCGTGGGCGACCCGGAAGGAGTTCTTGTTTTCGGCTCAGCTCAGCTCTGTCTATGGCAGCCATTGTAATCTCTTTGCTCTTTTTAACTGTGCCTTTCCAATAAAAATAAATACATCTAAAATAAATAAATAAATAAGCAATAGGAATGTAAATCTTTGCCTTGCTAATCTCTTTTTTATTTAATTAAAGAGAAAGTCCTGCTCTGTGTTGCTGGGGCAGCGAGTCTGAGCTGACCTGCCCATTGCATAACCCCAGGCCAGGTCAAAAGTGACTCAGAGTGGACAGCACCCTCCGGCTGCAGGCCATACAGCCTGGCATCCAGGTGCCACAGTGCTGAGTGAGGGGCCGCGGGGCCAGGACGTGCCAGCTCCGCTGTGCCACCAGGCTGTGGTCAGGGGTGGGACAGGTGGTAAGGGGAGCTGGCACCCTTGCATAGCTGTGTACCCCAGGGTGCCTGGAGCAGCAGAACCTGAAGCTGAAAGGGGGTGGGGCATGGACGCTGCTGGGGGATGGGGAGGTGGCAGCTTGGGGCAGCCCCGATGGAAACTTCTGGGCTCTCAGCTGTGTCCCCGTTTTGGCTTCCCAGACAGGGCTCCTGCTGGTAGAGGAATTCACTCAGGGACCGCCCTCTGGGGTGCAGCTGCAGAGGCCAGTAGGGGCCAGACATGCTGTGCTGGGGTGAGCTGGAGAGGTGCCCAGTCCTGGGCAGTTAGGAGAAACCTGGAACCTGGAGGGAGACAGCGGAGAGGGCACTGCCCGGGGTGGAGCGTGTGAGCACTGCCCAGAGTGGGGGGTGGGGACACTGCCGGGGGGGGGGGGGGGGGACACTGCCCAGGATGGGGAGGGGACACTGTCCAGGATGGGGAAGGGACACTGCCCAGAGTGGGGGGTGGGGACACTGCCCAGGATGGGGAAGGGACACTGTCCAGGGTGAGGCTGGGGACACTGTCCAGGGTGAGGCTGGGGACACTGCCCAGGGTGGGGGTGGCAGGGGTCAGGAGTCACTGAGGCAGGAACCAGCTGTGCCTTGGGGTGGGAGATAGCGAGCAGGACATGCCGGGCTGGGAGCCTCCGGCGCAAAAGCAAGCGCTGGAGGCACAGCTGTGCTCCGCCGGCCGCCGCCTCCTCCCGGGGGGCAGTGGGGCTTCATTCCACCATGGCCAGGTCTCGTGAGAAAGTGTCCATTGGAGAGATGAAAGGGCAGGCGCTGGGGGAGGGGAGGCCGGGAGCTGCTGGCTCCTAAGAAGACACAGCCAGGGGACAGAACCCTCAGCACCGGCAGGGCCCGGCAGGCAGGCAGGCAGTGCTGGCCACTGTGGCCATACGATCCACGCAGTGGGGTGAGAGTGCTGGGTGCTGGACAACCATCTGTGGTGCTGACATCCCACAAGGGCCCTGGTTCTAATCCCGGCTGCTCCACTTCCCACCCAGCTCCCTGCCTGTGGCCTGGGAAAGCAGTGGAGGACGGCCCAAAGCCTTGGGACCCTGTACCACGTGGGAGACCTGGAAGAAGCTCCTGGCTCCTGGCTTTGGATCGGCTCAGCTTGGGCCATTGCAGCCATTTGGGGAGTGAACCAGCAGGTGGAAAATCTTCCTTTCTATCTCTCCTCTCTGTAAATCTGTCTTTCCAATAAAAATAAAGGGATGTCTCTCTTGGGTTTTCAAATACACACACATTAGGCATGCAAACACAAATCATATTTAGACAATGCTATGTGACAATGCAGGAGGCAGGCCTCCCACACTGCTGCAGCAGCCCCAGCACTCGGGCCGTCCTCCGCTGCTTTCCCAGGCGCGTGAGCAGGGAGCTGGATGGGAAGTGGAGCAGCCGGGATTCGAACCTGAGCGCGTTCTGGATGCTGGCTCCATGTAGGCGGTGGGTTAGCCTGCTATGCCACTGCGAGGCCCCATTAGTTGGGCACTTGGATCCAAGCCCTGCGGACACGCACAGGCTAGGATGAGGGTGTTCCGAGGCCGGGTTAGTAGCCTTCCAGAGGTGCAGGACCCTGTGGCCACACGTGCGGATGTGGACAGCAGGCTGCACGCCAACCACGCCGGGAGGAATATTACTGGACCAGGAAAACAGAACGCCCCCATGACACACACAGCTTCACACTGGCAGTGATTAACTCTTCTTCAAAAAGATTTATTGATCGACTCGAAGGGCTGAGATCAATTCCAGATCAATTCCAATACCGATTCTCCAACTGCCTGCCACCGCCGGGGCTGGCCCAGGAGCCACGCGCTCCTCCTGGGGCGGCAGGGAACCCCAGGTCCTTACGCTACTCTGCTCCATTGTTCT